CATCATGACAGTTACTAGTAGCAATTATGATAAGACAGCAGCTTCTATTTTGTGTTATACAAGTTCACAGGTGTGAACATGTGTTGCTAATGCATCCACAAAGTAAGGCTAAGCAACTGTTGCTTGCAAATCCGACCGGCAAAAGGCCCAGGGGACGGTCAAGATTAAGCTGGTGCAAACATATGGAAGGAGTCTGTTCCAGACTGCATTTGTCTTTTGCCGAAGCTCAGACTCTGGCACAGGATCGGGAACGTTGAAAGCTCTGTCTGACGGGTCTGCCTCCGCGACCCGAAAGGAGAAGCGATGATGGAAGACGAACATGTTGTTCAAGATTATAATTCGTCCTCACCGCTTCGAAACTGATTTATTATTTAGTGGAATTAGGCAAAACTGCCGTTTTGTTCGATTATTACTAGGACTCCCCTTATACATGTCATCTGAGGTTTCGATGTTAATGTGGTAAAAACCACACATCACCAGTCCGGACTGAAAAGCAAATTAGTTTCAGTCAGTACCGGAATGGAAGGATTGCCACTTTTGACGATAACTTATATAGCTTCCAACATAGTACTAGTTTAGCGTTAACCAGTTGGTAACATTACTTAATAACGCGTGCACATAAACTGCTTCTGACTAACCATTCATATATAGTGATATCTCTGCCTTAACAAAAGTTTAAAATGCAAATGCAATGAAAAAACTTTAATCGTTATGTTCACAAGTATCCTTAAAATGCTGTTGGTAGAAAATTATAGTAGCGACCTATTGCACTTTGAGCTTCCAAAGTAGCCGTTGTTCATTAGCGCAGGGGTGATATACCTGATTTAAAATATGCAATTGTTGTCACCCAGAAAAAGTTGCGAGTGTTTGGGATTATTTGAACGGCTATACTAGGGCCTTCGTACAAAAATACGTTCAGTTTAGGCAATAAAACGAACACACTGCTGCCTGAAAGTCAGTTGTTAATGATGGATGTTGCGCCAGTTTGATTGCAATCCTCGCTTAAGTAAAATTGTCTTTTATTTCGACATTCTATTTATTTCTTATTTTTAGCATTTTTTAAATTCTAATTTGAATTTGTTGCTGCGCGGTATACTGAGGGTGAAACTAATATTTGGAAAGTCTTTCATGCGTTCCTAGTAAATAAATTAGTGCTACTATTGGTGCATCGGTGAAACAGGGAATGAAATTGTACGTTGTACTTTTCGCATAGTGGTAGATGCCACTACCGCAAATACGACATTCGTAACTTCGTGTGAAAAATCGCACTCTGGTTTACAACATAGGAGAAGTGCAGATGGCATGCACCAAAGCTGCGTCAGACTGTTTGACATTTCTGCAGTTTGTTAATAACTCCCGTCATTCTGTTGTTTGTCAATCTCATTTCATGAATTCTTTCTGATATATTATTCATTACAGTAATTGATTCATTCGGAAAAATCCCAAGCGGTTTGTTGGAAGGCAATATTCTTTCCCTTGGCAACTACGAGGAATGCGCAGATATCGTTGTCAGCAAGGAACCTGCTCAGAGGTAAAACAATTTGAAATGTGTGTGGTAGGCAAGTCACTTACTACTGGCCTATTTTAGTGGCACGCTTATAGGGAAACCGTGTTCCGCCTATTTCGATCTTCCCACTTACAGTCTTTTCGTAGACATGATTAACAACTGTACGTCAGAAAAGTACTCATTGGTGAGAGTGACTGTCCCAACCGTTTAAAGCACTTGATATTTTTTGTTTCAGTGCGAGGGTACTAAAAGTGGACTGTCAGCAGTTTGGGGATTTTGCGCTCCAAAATCGTGCAAGGCTTCGGAACTGGCGATTCTGACGCAAACTTGTAAGTCACGATCGAAAATCAACCAGCATTTGCTAATCTATATAATTTAGTTTTCAACGTTTCGCCTTTGTGCCAACCTCGCTTTCTATGTAGCGAAGATCTTCACCTGTCCAGCGATTATGAAGCGATTTTGGTGACGTACGAAAGGCAGTCGCTTATTCGATTCCTCCGTAGCTTTCCTCACTTTTAGAGCTGTGATGTGCGCCCTTGGAGCGTTGGCGATCGTTGGAACGATGTTCGAGGCTTTCCATGACCAGCCTACCTCCCAATGCACCGAAATATCGACGGCTGGCGAGCACGCGGTACACATCAACCAAGGTACCACTGTGTGTACTGTCACTAAATATGATTATTGCTCATATAATGTTATTAACGGTACTTGTTTTTGTCTTTATTTGTTACGGTCAATTTTTTTTGTCTCGTGCATAAAAACGCTTAATTGCGTTTATCCTTAATATCCGTACAGGACACGGTGTACACTTGTTGTTCATTCATGTATTTATGAAAGCACAAACGTTTGTACATACAGCGCTGTTTCTTCTGAACCAGTATTGGAAGAATCCGTAACATTAAAATCAAGATCAACGTTTCTATCTACTAACAGTCTACTTGTATTAGATACTTGTGTCATTGTCATTTTTGTAACACTGTATCTTGACGCCGTAACGTTCATTTCCTTAGTGCACAAACAAACAAGCACAGCATAATTCTTCATTCTATACTATATTGCACATGAACAACTAACAATTATATATCGTTTTCCAGGTGCATGGGGACAATAAGTTTCGAGGAGTAGACCATTTGGAAGTGGATATTAAAACTTTGGGGGCGGATAGTCTAAGAGTCTTAAAGAATAAGTCTGGAAGCTCACTTATCGAGAATGAGGACATCCTTTGGTGATGGAGAGAAAACTTTGAGGAACTCTTTAAACCTGAGCACCTGCAGGAAGATTCGCCTATAGAACAGGAAGGAACGGATATTACTCTCTCTGTAGATGAAATTACACAGGCTGTGAAAAGCCTGAAAAATGGAAAAGCTGCTGGAATTGACGAACTCCGCCCTGAGATGCTCAAGGCATTGGACGAACAAGGCATGTGCTGGCTAACACGTGTCTGTCAAACTGCGATGACTGGGGGAAAGACACCAGCGGACTGGAG